GTGGGTCTCAACCCGCGGGCTCAGGCAATCCACTCACCTCAGCCTCCCAAAGGTATGGGATTACAGGCTGAGCTACTGAGCCCGGCTAGTCTCAGGATTTTTACCAAAAGTAGCAATTAATCTAAGATGAAAATGAGATAACAGGAAATGGAAGGAATCATCAGAATTAATAATTTAGCAAAATAATAGTTAACCAGATAAAGATAATAGTACCTACACCATAATACTTTAGTTAGAAATTATACAGGGCTAAGGTGGAATGGCAATCCTCTGGCAGACTGGCTGATGGCAGTTGGCTAGTCCATCAGAGAGCCAGCCTGGGGCTTGGGAGGCAGCAGGGACACTCATCTATGTCACGGGAAGAGAAGTTTGATGATCAAGGGCTTCAACTTTTGGCTTTAAGTCAGAGCCTCCATGGCCGGCCCCCCAAGGTGTTTACCGTGAAGACACCATGCCCCTCGGTTGCTGCAATGACTCTCCCTCACCATCTCTTGCCCTCCGTTTTTTTTTTTTTTTTTTTTCTCTGCCTCTGAGGTTGTAGTGTAGTGACCCAGTCAGTCATGGCTCACCATAGCCTCAACCTCCTGGGCTTAGGCAATCCTTCCACTTCAGCCTCCACAGTAGTTGGGACTATAGGTGGCACCACCATGCCCAGCTAATTGATTTTTTTGGGTCTCGTTATGTTGCCCAGGCTGGTCTCAAACTCCTGGGCTAAGTGATCCTCCCACCTTGGCCTCCCAAAGTGCTGGGATTAAAGGTGTGAGCCACTATCTCTGGCCTCCTGCCTGCTTCTTCTGTGAGCCCTCATGGATCTTAAGGCCGACACCCCCAACTCCTCCCAGATGTGATTGTCAAGGTGAAACTGACTATATACAATTACTATAGGGCTGCAGGGTAGAAACTGTGAAAAGACCGGAAAGTTTTGCAAAGGTGCAGGCAGAGGAAGATAGTTAACAAGTTCAAAGGTTTTGAAGTTCTGCTCCCAGGACTGCCTTTTTCTTTCCTTGTATGACCGCCTGCACAGTTGCTTCAATTGAGAGCAGCCAGTAATTATTTATTGCTGCCATGTCCTGACTCCTGGGGAAAGCTCTCCATGAGACTGATCAACTTATTTGCCCGTTGACAATGAGTCTTGGGTTCTGCAGACCTCCTTGGTGGTGGCCATGAGTTCGATCAGTCTCCCGCACATCCTTCTGTAAAGCTCTAGGCAGAAGTCAGTGGTCAACAGCCACTGGACCCCGGTTTGCTTCTTTGTAATGATTTACTGTCTGGCCTGGGAATCAGGTCACAGGAGGTCACAAGACTTAAAACTTCCCCAACTGTAAAGCTTCCTTGAAATATTTTTCAGACTTTGCATTTTGGCAGACCAACTGGCCCCACCTGGCCCCATGACCCATGCCAGGGAGATGAGTTGACCAGTCCAGACCTCTACGGCTTTGCGCAGAAGACGGCTTCAACACCCTTATGACTTCATTCCCAACCAACAGCAGTGCCCATTCCCTAGACCCCCTGCTTGCCAAATTATCTTTAAAAACCCAAGCCTAAAAATTCTCAGGGAGGCAGACTTGAGAAATATCTCCTGTCTCCAGCTTGGCTGCCTTGCGATAATTAAACTCTTTCTTGACTGTAAGAACGGCTATCTCAGTGAATTGGTCCTCTGTGCAGTGGGTGAAAGAACCCAGTCTGACAGTGGCAAAGGCTCACCTTCTAGTTCCCAGGAGATCTCAAGCCTTTCCAAATATCATCAAACTTTAAATGGTTGTGTATTGTGCTATTTGTTTCAACTTTTGTATATGTTTAAAAATTATCAAAAAGTTTACAGTTGTTTTTTTTCCTTCAAAAAGTTACTACGGGCTGAGCATTCCTTATCCGAAAATGCTTGAGACCAGAAGCGTTTCTGATTTTGGACTTTTTTTGATTTTGGAATATTTGCATATATATAATGAGTATCTTGGGGATGGGACCCAAGTCTAAATACAAAATTTATTTATGTTTCATATACATCTTATACACATAAACTGAAGATAATTTTATACATAAAACAAAATTTTGACGGCATTTTGACCGTGACATATCACATGAGGTCAGGTGCGGCATTTTCTACTTGTGGCATCAATTCCAGATTGTGGAGCATTTTGGATTTCAAGTTTTTGGGCTAGAGATGCTCAACCTGTAATTCTCAGCTATTGGCAGTATTGCAAGAAATTTGCACTTTATCTGGATGAAGACAGAGTGTTATTAACACTTGGCCACATACAGAAGGGATATCTTGCTAACAAGAACAACAATTCTAGAGCAAAACAGGAAGAGAGAGAGAATAAAGAAAGTGACTGGCTCTCAAAGGAGTCAAGAGTGGGAGGTGGCCACAGGATGACTTGCCATCATAGTTGACTGTGTTAGAACGACAGCCGAATGTGGTGTACTGGGAAGAGCATGGATTCAGAGGAGCCTGGTTAAAATCTAGGTCTTGCTCTGTCTTAGCTGTGAGAGTTTGGCTGAGACAATTGACCACTGATTCCACATATGCAAAATGCTGATCCAGTTATGCTCTTGTGATGGGGGCACATTCTGAGAAATGTGTCATTGTGCGAACAAAATAGAGTGTACTTATACAAATCTAGATGGGGTAACCTATTATACATATTGGATATAAGGCATATTGCTTTGATTACTGTCATATATGTGGACTGTTATTGACAGAAATTATGTGGCGCAAGACTGTAATAATAATAGTTGTGGCATATGTAAACATACTGTCACTAATGGTGTGGTAAAGTGATACACTAGCATAGTAACAGTGTAAACTGGATATAATTACTAGAAGGTTTTTGAGGAGGGAGGTTTAGAATTGAGCTCCATTGATTTGCTTACACAGATATTTTCATCTTCCACCAGAAATATTGGTTGTAAAAATCTTTGTAAAAATAATGATATTTGAGGAGTTTTTTTTCTCTACTGTCAACCAATTTTGAGCAGGCACATGGTTTTCTGTATATAACATCCAATTGATTTAAAAATGAATCGGCGAATGCATTTATTGATTTATTGATTGACTGTCTCATTTCAGAAAGGAATTTGAGGAGGACACTCAATTTGACATTCTTGCATCTTTCTATATTTGGGTCATGCATTTGTATTGCTTTCCAAGTGGAAAATGTGGTGGATGCAGTAGACTGGCCTTCAGTATCAGCCTCAAAAGAAGGAACTCTTTTTAGTATTACCTTTCTGTGTTTCAGAAACTGAAAAGTTACAGACTATATGCCCCAGACATCCTTGCTGCTAATCTACATGTGAAATGGGTCTCACCAATTGCATGCAGCAGAGTAAGATTTGCAGGTGCTGTTTTGATACTGCTGGCAAATACAGCCATGGGGGTTTTTCTGTAGCACTGTTCCAGAGTTCGGTTCATTGCTCTGTGGATGTTAAGATAAATAAGTAAATAAGCAAAAGTTTTACTAAGATAGTGCTACGTGCTGTCGATACAAATAAAGCTGGTAAAAGGGATGAGGAGTGCAGGAAATAAAAGTGGCTGTGTTGTCTATTCTAAACAGGTCAGGGAAGGCTTCTCTGTTAAGGTGACTTTTGACCTGGCTGTCCATTTTGCCAATTGTATGCAAGGCTCAGGTGCAGTTACTGTGTTCAAATGCGATGATAAAATTACTCCTTTTTTTGGATAACCTCGTAAGCGATGCTGCTGTTTTCTATCTGAAGACGGGTGAATTGTTTACCCACAGGAAACAGGGCGGAAAAGCCTCAACCTGACCTTTGGGCATCCAGTAAAAGCAGCTACAACACTCCCTGGGCTTGCCCCCAACAAATATGGCGGTAGCACTTCCGGTTCAGGGCCTTTGCCTTCAACAAAGATGGCGCTTGTGGTGCAGCTTCCCTGGCAGCGTGATTCCGGTTGCAGTTTCCTCTCCCCCGCCCCAAGATACGTGATTGCAGACGTAGGTAGGAGGAATCCATCTTTTCTTGAAAGTCCTGCGCCGAGGTCTCTGTGACTGGACCCTGCGTGGCTTCCCCGCTCCCCTGACTTATTCGCCCCCCATTCCGCGCCGACCCGGGTTAGAGGGACCTTGCCGGGGGCTGCTCTCCCCGCGGTCCGCACCGAAGCTCCTTCCCTGCCCTCCCTCTTTGGCGGGTCCAGTTGCCCCAGAAGCCTCTGGTCGATCTTCCTGTTTGTGACTCCACAAGGGTTTCCGCCAAAAAGTCCCAAGGGGCGCTCACGCCTAAGGGTGGACACTCCCTCCTCACCTGCCGCGCCCAAGCGCCCCAGGATCGGGTGTCGCCCAGCGGGGGCTGCTGCCTGTGGGTATGGGGAGCCCCATCTGCCCCCCCCCCGCCTCCCCTCCCGCCGCTCAGCGTCCCCCTCTTCCGCACGAGCGAGCGTCCCAGAGCCGGGGGGCAGCCGCACCTTCAGGGGGTGGTGGGCACTGACCGCGCTGGGGGTGGGGCGAAAAGCCCCGACACGTCCCGGGCGTGTGTGGCCGCCGCCGTGTCGCGATGGAGATTCCAAATCCGTCATGGCAGGGAGTGGCGCCTGTGGCTGCACATTGTGCGGGATCTGTTGTGGACGCGGCGCAGGCGAGGGGGTGGCCGGGGCTTTGCCCTTAGAGCGGGAGGTCCTGACCCTCGGCTTCTGCTGGTATCCGGCTCCTGTCCTGCTGCTGATCAGGCTTCGCAAATGCCGGTGGTCAAAAGGGCAGCCGCCTCCGCGTTGCTGGTCTTTGCCGCGGGCGAGACGGCTCTGATGAAGGCCACGTGAAAATAAAACCGCGACGTCTTCTTCAGCGTGGTAAAATTCATGCCGCCCTGTGATCGGTGGACACAAATGGCTTTCGCAGCATGGTCTCTGAGCCATTTCCCCCTCCCACGTCTTATTGAACAAGGGTTTGAGCTAAGGCTGCATTGCGTGAAAAGCAAAAACAGAAAAGGTGACTCCCTTTAGGGCTGTTCATGGTGTTTGGAAGCATTCAGAAGTAGCTTGGCTTGGCCTAGCAACCCTGAATGAAACTCCCTGGCCTGGCATTGCTGAGGTCTGAAGATTCGCCTCACCCCCCGGGGGCTTGGCCACAGGGACCCCATCTCCAGGGGCACATCAGCCTTCCTGCAGCCTGAGCTGTGGTTTGTCTCTTTCCAGGAGAATGGAGGCCAGAGACAAACAAGTGCTCCGCTCCCTTCGCCTGGAGCTGGCTGTAGAGGTGTTGGTGGAGGGACTGGTCCTTCAGTACCTTTACCAGGAAGGAATCTTGACCGAGAGCCATGTTCAGGAGATCCAGGCTCAGACCACGGGCCTCCGGAAGACAATGCTGCTGCTGGACATCCTGCCGTCCAGGGGGCCTAAGGCATTTGATGCATTCCTAGGTTCCCTGCAGGAATTTCCCTGGGTGAGGGAGAAGCTGGAGAAAGCCAGGGAGGAAGCCGTTCTTGAGCTGCCTGCAGGTAGGCCACACAGAGATCGCTCAGACCAGCTCTTGAAGGTCAGACCTGTGCCCTTTGGACTTTAAATTGGGGTGGAAGGCAGGGCAGGGGACAGCGGTTGAAGAAAGTGGGCAAGGAGTCTGGACAAGGGACATGACGTTGGAGGGATGGGATGAAGAGGTGGCAAATGCAAGTGCAGGGAGGGATGTAAGAACAGTGACTGGTGAAGGAGGGAGTACAGAGAAGATGTTGAGATGTGCTTCCAGGGAAACTTGGCCCACCGCTGGGGAGGCATATTCTCAACCAGAGCCAGGTCCTACCTCAGCCGCTGGCACTGGAGCCCTTGGAAAGTGCAGATGGGAGAGCAGGTAATTGGCCTCCAGACAGCTGATTGGTGAGGGGCTAGAGCTACCTGCTGGAAAAGGCCAGCTGCTTGAGGAGGCAGCAGCCTCTAGGAAGGCATGCCCTGCCCCTGTCCCCTGGGCTGTTCCACATGGCCACAGGGGATTACTCAGAAGGCTGTCTTAGTTTGTTTTGAAAGGTTAAGGGTTTAAAGTGTCCTTTTTAGTTTGGCTTTGTTCGGACACCTGGAGTATTGAGTTTTGTAAAGGCAGTGGTGGTGTGGAGAGGGTATTGTTTTGATTTTCAGGCGAACTGGAGTCTGTAGAAAGGAGACATGGTTCTGGTGCTGTGAGTCTGGCTTGTATCAGGAGGAAGATGGCATAGGAAATGGTTGTTCCTTCTTAACACGCCCATGACTTCTTCGCTTTACAAAGATCCAGGAGCAGAGACCTGAAAATGGCACACTCAACTCATTTTTTTAAAAAGGTAACTGAATGTTGACTTTCAAAATTTTAAGAGTTAGGGAACCAGCATTCTTTCAGATTTCTGATAACTGTGATAGAACTACCCTAATTCAGTGGGCCATAGACTTTGTTATTGCTGTTTTTCTTTTCTTTTCTTTCTTTTTTTTTCTTTTTAGTTTTTTGAGTCAGGGTCTCACTATGTCTCCCAGGCTGGAGTTCAGTGGTGTGATCATGGCTTACTGAAACCTTGACCTCCTGGGCTCAGGTAATCCTCCCACCTCAGCCTCCCAAGTAGCTGGGACTACAGGCATGCACCACCATGCCCAGCTAATTTTTTTGGCATTTTGTAGAGATGAGATCCTGCTATATTGTCCAGGCTGGTCTGGAACTCTCAGGCTTAAGTGATCCTCCTACCTCAGCCTCCCAAAATGCTGGGATTCTCTGCTTGCTGCTAAGTTTTTGATTGTTTTGTAGAGATGAGGTCTTGCTATGTTGCCCATGCCCAGGCTGGTCTCAAACTCTTGCTGTTTTTAAAGCACTGGTTTTAAAAAACAAAGCAGCAACAATAAAAGACGGCTTTAGTTATTTTTGCTTCACGAACCTCATATTTTAAGTGATTTTTCAGACTGTGCGTATGAAGTACTCATGATTAACTTTTTTCTATTTATAAATGACATATGTCTGCATATCTGATCAGCATGAGATAGCCAGTTAACTTAGGAGGGCCTGGTGAAATCCCAGAGGAAAAAGCAAAGATATTTTCATTCCCAGCTTGGCAAAGTTACAGGTATATGCTTTTTAGGTTTTTTGAACTATTGAAAATAGCTGGCCTTTGATGACCATGGGGATTCTCAGCTTGGATCGTTCTTACAAAATTAAGCACTTCACATGTCTGAACAAAGCCAAACTAAAGTACCTAAGATGTTTCTACCTCTTTATTGAAGGTAGAACAGGTGACATAGACTTGGGGAGTTGTTGAAAATTATTGGTGTTTTCTGGGTCTTTGATTTGGAGGTTCCTCTTGGTAACAAATAGTTGGAAACAACAAAACAGGCAAACAGAAAGACTTTCACTACCAAAATTCTCAGTGCTGTGTTAATTTCAGGTGATGTAAATAGTACTGGTGTGTCATTCATAGAGGTGTAACCCCATTTCATTTCTTCAGATTCATTTAGAGAACAAGAAGGAATTAAGATGTTTCCTTTTTTAACCAAATAATAACAGTTACAGATAAGCTAAGGGAAAGATAGTGTTTTTTAAGAGAGTTTGTTAATTCTGTGGAAGGTTGGCTCCGGAACAAATTAAGCATGGTCCTCTTTACCAGGGTGCTTTCTCTGAGTAATACTGCTACTGAAAAAACATTCTCAAGTGGGCTTTGATTTACATGTGTCTCTCCATACCCTCCACAATGACGGTCACATACACTCCTTTTAAAAATACTTTATTACACACTGACTATTCTTAATGATTGTACAGCATATAAGTAAGGTATGGAGAATGATGACTCATGAATACCCATCTCCCTATCACTCAGTTTAAGAAAAATAATTAGTTGCCTTGTGAACCCCTGGTTCTGTCTCATTCCTGTCTCCCACTCATGAATGAACCCTGAATTGGAGGTTTATCATTCATTTGTATCTTTACTTTGTACTTTTCTTTCTTTTTTTAAAAAATTTGATTATAGAGATGTGGGGTACAAGTGAGGATTGACTACACAAGTAGGCTGCACGCAGGTGAAGTTGCGGCTTCTAACTGACCCTCATGCCCGCTGGTAATGACCCAAGTACCCTGTGTTGTCATATGCCCTCCTCCTTCCAACCCCCTCTCTCCCTGTCCCCCTCCCTGCCCCTCCCCTGACAGTGCACAGCAACTGCCCATCCCTACCTTGTGCTCATGTGATTGGTGTTCAGGGCCCATTTATGAGTGAGAACGTGCAGTATTCAGTTCTTTGTTTCTGTGGTAGGTCACTATGATGGTCTCCAGCTCCATTCAATTTGCTGCTAAGTCCTTGATTTTGTTCTTCTTTATAGCTCTGTAATACTCCATTGTGTATATGTACCACATTTTCTTTATCTGGTCCACTTTTGAGGACAGTAGGGTTGGCTCCAAGCTTTTGCTATTGTGAATAGTGTGGCAATAAATATATGCCGTTATCTTTTTTGTAGAGCAATTTATGTTCTTCCGGGTATATTCCGAGGAGAGAGATTGCTGGATCATGTGGAAGGTCAATTTTTAGTTCTTTTAGGAATTGCCACACTGTTTTCCATACAGGTTGAACAAGCTTGCACTGCCACTTCCCTTTTCTCCTTGCCCTTGCCAGCATCTGTTGTTTTAGTTTATTAATGATAGCCAGCCTTACTGGAGTTAGGTGTATCTCACTGTGGTTTTGATTTGCATTTCTCCGATGATTAGTGGGGCTGAGCAGTTTTCATGTGTCTGTTGGCTGCTTGTGTGTCATCTTTTGAAAAGTGTCTGTTTATGTTCTTTGCCCACTTTTTAATGAGGTTGTTTTTTTCCTTTCAGTTTGTTGGAGGTTTATTATTCATTCGCATCTTCACTCTGTAGTTTTCTTTTTTTTTTGTAACTTCTCCTGGTAATGACCCAATTTTACCCTTTGTGTTGTCTCATGTTCCGCCCCCCACCACCCTCCTTCCCCTCCTTCCTCCCCTAGCAGTGCCCAGTGACTACCCTTTAAACATACACTTTGAGTTTTCCTTGTAGATTCTGGATGTTAGACCTTTGTCAGATGCATAATTTGCATATACATTTTTTTTTTCATTCTATGGGTTGTCCTTTTACACTCTTGATGGTTTCTTTTGCTGTGCAAAAACTTTTCAGTTCGATGGCATTTACTTTTGGGAACTTGGTCAAGAACTCATTGCCTGCTCTCATGTGCTTAAGTGTGTTTTCTGTGTTTTCTTCTAGGATTCTTATAGTTTGAGGTTTTACTTTTAGTCCTTGATCCATTTTGAGTTGATTTTTGTATATGGTGATAGGTAGGGGTTCAGTTTCATTCTTCTGCATGTGGTCAGCCAGTTTTCCCGGCACCATTTGCTAAATTTGGTCTCCTTTCTCAAGTGCTTGTTATTGGTGGCTTTGTGGAAGATGAGTTGATTGAGAGACTGTGTTTTTACTTCTGGAATCTGTCTGGAACATTGGTCTATGTGCCTATTCATGTACCAATACCAGGCTGTTTTGGTTTCTATAACCTTGTATGAAGCTTAAAGTCTGGAAGTATGATACTTCCCGTTTTGTTCATTTTGCTGAGAATTGTTTTGATTATATGCTCTTTTCTGTTTCCATGTGAATTTCTGTATTGTCATTTGCAGTTTTCTATCTCATAAGAATTACTTTTAAAATCCACATATGCTACTGAAAATCCAGTATACCATAAATTCTAGTGTTTTATATAGATATACGTGTGTGTTTTTTATGTATGTTGGAGAGAAAAGATGGAAAAATGATATTGGGGGCGTCAAAACAATGTATACACATTTTAAGTATGATGTTCGCTCGAAAGATAGTGTTAATCAAATGAATGCCAGCATCACCATGCAACAGTGAGGACAGTCAAAGGAAATGGCAGAAGTACGGTTGCTTGAACGGCATATTACGCATTGCTGCCGTAATTCAATTCAACATAGATAACATCTCTTAAAATGTGTATGCTTTTTTTTTGGCACCCCCCTGTATTTTAAAGTTGATAGTTCTCTTGTTTCAGGCCTTAAAATATCTTTCAGTGTTTAATTAATTTGATGGCAATTTTTTTTTTTGAGTTGGAGTTTCACTGTCACCCAGGCTGGAGTGCAATGACACGCTTATAGCCACCCCAGAATTGATCTGCTGGACTCAGGTGATCTTTCTGCCTCAGCCTTCCAAGTTGCCAGAACTACAGATATGTGCTACCACACCCAGTTAATTTTTTTTTACTGTAGAGATGAGGTCGCGCCAAGGATGTTCTCAAACCTATGGACCCAGACAGTCCCCTCTCCTCGGTCTCCCAAAGTGGATGGCAACATTTTAATTCTAAAGTTAAATTGGAGTTTAATGCATTGGATACCTAGGTTTTGTTTTGTTTTTAAAATCCTGGGAAGAGTGTTGGAGTTGAAATGCCTTCCAATTTAATGTCTCTGTTTAAAAAAAAAAAATCCAGAGCCTATTTCCCAGGATCCAGCGGTTCTCCAGTGTTGTAATAAAGTAATTTTAATAAGCCTT